TCCTCTTGGCCAATCGGAGGCCAGGATGATGCTCGGTAAGCCAATGGCAGAGCAGCTATGAGTATGTTGCGACCAGGAAACTCAGAGCTGTGTAAACCAGTGCGGTGGTTGCTGTTGCCGTTTCCGAACGAAGCAGTCGAGGTCGCTGTTGGATTAGACTTCGTTGTACTGAATCTGTTCGCGAGGCTAGAGCAGAGAAAATGATTTTGTATAACGCAATAGGGTTTTTTTTTCATCGTATGGGGGGCTGGAAAATGGGAATGGTGTTAATGCATAAAGATTTTTTCACATTAGGGGGTATTTTCGCCCATGTGGGTTTCGTTCTAGAGGAGTTTCACTGTATTCGACAGGCCAGTAGCAATTGTCTTGAAATGAAATGACTCAAATGCACTGGAGAGAGAGAGAGAGAGAGAGTGAGAGGTCCTGTCCCATAGCAAAAATGATTTCCATACAGAATGCTCAAAGTCAACTCGAAAGAGAAACAAAAGCATCAAATAAAATAATTTAAAAGTTACTACCTACGACTACCTTAACAGGATCCATTTGACAGTCCAATGGCGGCCGGAAGACATAACCACCTGAATCTTTCAGTCCTGCAGTGCTTGGAAAGTAATCTTTCCTTGCGACTGCTTCTCTGAGCCACCACAGTGTCCGCAGTGTCATAAGATAAGATAAGAAAACCTTTATTAGTCTCGCAATGGAGAAATTCCCAATTCACAGCAGCAAAGTTATGAAAGGAAGAAGTAGAAGAACAAAATATAGAAGCTGCTGGAAAGGCAGCCACTCTCGCGGCGCCATCTTGAAGTCAAAAAAACAAAAATAACACAACACAACACATAGGACACAGACAGTCGTGCAATCTTCACCACTTTCCTGCATACACTTTGTTGTCTGAAGCAGTTATAGATGAAAGAGGAGAGGATCAAAGTGTCCTTTTACCAGTGGATCAGAGACGTCATGCTGAAAATGTGCACGTCTGCTACAAGCTAAGTTTTGAAAGCAAACACGAAGCTGTAGCATCCATTGACAAAAAGAGAATCGTTCACTTCTCCTGTCCGACGTAATCTGCTTCAACTCCAAGCCGCGACTCCCGGTTCCACATCTGCATCGGTGTTGTGCGCTCACGCTCCTTTCTTCTCATCGTCGGCTCCTCAAGCCTTGCATCCATCCAGCCGCAGACCGTTCAACAGCACCGATCTCTCCTCTGAACAAAGCGGGGATGTGAAAATGCTGCCCATTACAGGCGCAAGACACAAGCGCCCCGGAGCTGTCCAGCAACGACAGTCAAATGGCGCCGACATTCCTCTCAATCAAAAACAGTCATAGGTCATAGGTGTCATAGGTGTCAGTGTCATAGGTGACATCATGATATGACTTCTCCCTGTGACTGCCTACAAGTCAGTTCTTAGATTATTCAGATGCTCTAAAATATCAATGTTCAATGGAAGATATTGTATGTCACAGTAATTATCGAGCAATCAAGCTCCTGCTCATTTTTGCACCCACAAACTTTAGTAAATCAGAACCAGAATATTCATTTGGCACGCAAACGCTCATATGACTTGTGATTAACTATACAATGAGCAGCCGCAGCAGCTCATTTCAGATTCACTCATTGTGTGCTTTACAGAAGGTAATCTCTTTTTCTTGTCTATGTGAACAGCTCCACTGTTTTGCTCAGATATTGCGGTACTGTATACGAGTGAAAGATTCATTTAAATGCAGGGTGAAGCGGAGCGCTGATGTGGTTGCTGGTGCCATCAGGCAGAATGCATTGTCCATTGTTTGCCACCTTTGTCTTCTTTTTATGCATTTTACTGCCAAGCTCATAATTGTTCTTCTGCTGGCAGTAAGGTTAAGGTTAGCTGGCAGGTGTGCTGCAGCTGTGGCAACTGGTTATTCTTGGCGATTGGTGACCTTTCAGTGATAACTTTTGGAAATTGCATTCTTGAGTTTTTACACATATCAGAAAGAGGACATGTTCAACCTTCGTGTGTGAAGGTCTTGTCGGGCATGTTGCTACTTTGTGACTCTAGACCGCGGTAGAAACAGGCACCAGTGTGCCTGACGAGAATCACCGCAATCTCTCCTTGGCATTCAGTCGCCCACCTTCGAGCTGCATCGGTTCCTCACCATGGACAGCTGGGATTGGACGGAGCTCAGGCTTGGTACCGCTCTGCTCCACGTTCCCGGTGTCTCTCCCTCAGTCGATTGTCCAAACAAATGACATCTTCAAGTGAGGAAGAGTCTTCGTGTACAGCCAACTCATCCATGAAGTGCTAAGTCTGCGGTGGAAGATTGTTCATAGGGCACAGTCACTGAACCCACTCTCCGCCACCTATGAATTTGACTATTTTAGCAGTAGAGAGTTGTGTCAACATTGTCCAAATCTAACCTTTTTTTTTCCCCCAATGAAAAATTAGAAGTTCTACTAAAAGGTTGTGAACAGGACATCAATGTGAAATCTGTTCAGATCAAAAAGATTACAATAGTGTTGATTTTCTTAACTGCTCCTTTAATTTTTCTTGCTTATTTTGCTTTCTCTTACACTACCAGAAATGTATGCGGTTCAACCCGAACGCCACAGTCTGGGTTGCCAAGCAAAGGATCCTGTGTACACTTAATCAGAGCCTGAAGGATGTGCTCAACTACGGCCTTTTCCAGCCTGCCAACGGTGGAAGAGATGGCAAGTTTCTGGATGAAGAACGTAACCTCCGAGAGTACCCTCAGCCACTCAGCAAAGGTGTTCCATGTTTGGAGGTATGCATCCATTTAGATATTTTATGTTACACTAATTACATTAGTAAGCAGAAAATACACAATATGCAAATTGTGTCAGACTACACGTAATCGTAACAAATGTTTATCGGGGTCTGTGCGCTCTCCAAATGCCCACTTCCGATTTGCGTCCATCATTTTGAGACGTTAAGTGAGCAATTAGTGAGCCTTACAAAACGGGAATAAAAGGAATAAAGGATCTGCTTTGACTTGCCATGACTGAAGTCAGCTGTGACCACTCACACAGCAGCGCAGAAGTCCCTTTCGCAGAGTCGCCAGTCTGCGCTCATCTACGGGTCTAACCTGCCTGTGCCGTGTTTACACCAGCATTGAAAATAGAGACATTGGTGTGGATTTGTGAATATGAGCAGAAATACATTATGAAAGGGTCGAAACATGTTTGACTCATGGTTTATCATTTTCCTCAAATTAAATTAAATATTACTGAATTGCTGAAATCAACACTCGAATGGTGTAAACCAGGGGTCCCCAACCTTTTTTGCCCCACGGACCGGTTTATGTCAGACAATATTTTCAGGGACCGGCATTTAAGGTGTGGCGGAAATAATACAACAAAATAATATGGTATGAGCTGCACGAAAACTGTGGTGTTTTCGAAATATAATAATAAACACAAGGAGCGTCTAATCTGGCCGCAACACTCTGATCGCTATGGTAACGTTTAATGCCTTCAAAATATGATACAACGCAAATTCAAAGTGCATGAAAATGACGACTCACCACAGCCCCGAGCTTGATTTTCTGCAACCAGACGGTCCCATCTCGGAGTAGTAGGAGACAATGACACCTCAAGTGTGTGGTTTATGTCCAGTCTACTTTGTAATTTTGTTTTAGTCGCCGTTGCTACAGAAAACCCCCGCCTCACACAGGTAGCATGTCGGAAATAGCAACAGTGCTATTGTGGCGATCTCAGAGTATTCAGCCACAACTTTAATCCAGTTGTCTCGAATGTACTTTTAAGGCCGCCGTCATTTGCGATCTCCAGCAGTTTTTTTACTCAGTTTGCCAGCTCCGGCGTTTTGTTTTTCGCGTAATCGTTCACGTGACGGAGAAGCGTGGCTTGACGTGTGTCAAGCATGACACAGACGGATGTAACGGAGAATCTGGTAATTTTTCAAAGTAAAACATCTTTCGTATTCGAAATAAATAAAACGGAATTAAGGCAAGTTCTTTCTGTGCGGCCCGGTACCAAATGCCCTGCGGACCGGTACCGGCGGTTGGGGACCCCTGGTGTAAGCTACTGTAGAAATAACATAAGGGGCAGAATTGCTCGTTCTAAAATTAGAATGGGGCCATTTGACAATAACTCCAAAGTAAATTTCTTCACCCACTAGATGTGACTGACATAAATTTATACCGGTCCCTCTCTCAGGCAACTATTTTGCATGAAAATGTACTAACTTAAATGAAACTATCATTAAAATGTCTGGTATTCTACATGTTTATATGTATCACATTAGAAGCAAATATTTTATTCCAAATGGTAATTCAACTTTTCAACTGTTGTAACTCTATTATACACAGGGATATTTGACCTTTTACGTTTTAGCACTTGTCTTTGCCGTTACAGTTTCGCTACAAGAGCCGGGTCTACAGGCAGCCCAATTTGGATGAGAAACAGATTGCCAAACTTCATACAAAGGTAAGAATTTGCCTACAACAGAAAAAATTATTATATTATTTATAAAAATTATCAAAATTATTTATATTATTATAATTATGACCCGATAATATTTAGTCTCGAGATTAATGAAGTTGCTTTTAACTGGCTACTGCAAAGCGTAGAACTAGTTGCCTTGCAGATTGCCAAACTTCATACAAAGGTAAGAATTTGCGGAAGATGAAATTCGGAAGATGACATTAATTGTGTGATTTCAATGAACTCCATTCCACTCCTGAACAAATGGGGTTTTTACACCCGTGACCCTCCTGCAGGTCAGGATATAGGATCAATGTTGGCACCGATTCTGTTATGCTTTTACATGAATTCATTCCTGATTGGTGGCACGGTGGGCGACCGGTTAACATCTGCCTCATAGTGCAGAGGTTCGGGGTTCGATTCCCGGGCTCTGGCCTTCTTGTGTAGAGTTTGTATGTTCTTCCTGTGCGTACATACAGTAGCTTTTCTCGGGGTACTCCGCTTTCCCCCAACAGTCCACAATAAACAAATGAACGAATAAATGAATACATACATACATACATAAATAAATAAATACAACGTTCAGGGGGGGTTAACACTCTAAATTGTCCCTAGGTGTTATTGTGAGCGCAAATGGTTGTTTGTCTATGTGTGCCCTCCGATTGGCTGGCAACCAGTTCAAGGTTGGGCCTACTGCTGGGACAGGCTCCAGTACACCCGCAACCCTTGTGAGGATAAACGGATTAGAAAATGGATGGATGGGTGTTTGCAAAGGCATGTAAATGGCAGTAGTATGCTGATGATACAGGGTGTTTTGTCTCAACCCGTCAAGCCTCAGTAATCTTAAACTGACAGATTGTAGCTGTTTTATTAATGGCTGTAAAGCAGGGGTAAGGAATTCCAGTTTCTCGAAAGCCATAGCCTGTCTGGTTTAGATGTCTCCATATTCCAAAACACCTGATACAAACAATCAGGCCATCAGGAAGCTCTGTAGAAGCCTGAAATGATCCTGACCATTTGAATCAGATGTATTGGAGTAGGAAGAGAGCTAAAACAGGCAGGATATGGCTCTCGAGGAATCCTAGTTGCCTATCCCTGCTATAAAGGAATCATTTAACAGTCAAGTACAAGAAAACACAGTATCAATGTACCTCTTAGTGCAGAACAAAGTTTTATCAAATTTCCCCCATGACTGATGCAAAAGAAATTGAGGTGGTCACTGATTTTGAATGTGCGGGTATCATTGTAGAATAGCTCCAAGCATAATGTATAAGGCACATACTGTATAAAGCAGTTGTCTAAAACCGTGAATATCAATCTGATCGGTTTTAGATTTATTGGGTCTTTTCTACTGCATCGCTGCATCCATCTATCTATCTATCTATGTACCAGCCACCCACCCACCTACCGACCTAACCTACTTACCTACTGATAGAGAAATCTATGAACAAAATTGAATCATGTTTAAAGTTTCGGTTAATTTGTGCATGTCTGGACATACTCGGCGCAGAGGTGTCGGCCGTTTGGGCGGAGGGCCTTTTTTTGAGTAATCACGTCAAAGCAAGGGGGGCGAACAGATGGAAAAAGGCTTGACTCATTCACAAAGTGGGAAAAAACGAATTGGGAACAAAGAGTTGTTGAATACCAAAAGACGGTTTGGGAACAGCTGTCGCGCCCAGGTGGACATTTGTCATCAGCAAAGTCTGTGACTTGTGTATTCGGGTAGATTAGATCACTTCCAAGGGGCCGGACCGGGGGGCGCGGTATGCAAATCTTGGGGGCAGTGTTTTTCTTGTATTTTGCAATAAAAGTTCGAACCGGTGGAGAGGGAGCTGAGTGTGTGATCATCGGGGCAACTACCGTCGTTCGCTCTCAGAGATCCCTCCCGCCGATATTGAAGACAATGTTCCCTGTGTGCCGAGTCATTTCTTTAACTTTGTCCGAGAAAAACTCTGACACCTACACACACATATATGCGACATATGGACATTTTTTTCAATGCTTAAATAGCATAAGTATATACAAATATGATTCAATTAAAAATATTTTTGGGGGGTGGTATCTGAAGCGCCATGCTCGCCGTGCATGGTTTGGCAACATGGTCAATTCTCAATTTGCACCGTGTGCTAAATTTTAGGAGCATGTTAATCTGATAAAATAACTTGGATTGGATTTCTGAAAAAGTGAATGCAAAAACACACACACCTTCAAAGTAGCCCGGTGATGATCCGCGCACACATCACTGGCGATGACTTCTGGATCCACGATGCAAGTTATTTCAACCTCAAAGTGTGCCATATTTTCAAAATGGGTCTCCATGGGATTCTCATGTCTCATGAAATTGCCTAAGAAACACGCGTAAGGAATTGACTTGGGTGCCAACGGGATAATATGCCCCTAAGTTAGTCAGCAAGCACACTATCGAACACCCTCTCTTTGCTATCTTAGGAAATCTGGTCCCAAGACTTAAAAACTGCTAAAGATTTTCAAATGAGGAAAGGCATCTCATTCAATTTGAAAAAAAGTGACTCCAAGGGCAATGTGGAAAAGTGAAACATCAACTGCTGAAAATAGAGTAGAAGGATGCAACACTGCAATGAAACACCAAACGTATTATGCTAGTTAATTTATTTACGATTACTATTACTTCAACTATTACGGTGAAGGTAAAAGGGACGTGTGCTTGACCTCGGAAACTTCAAATACAGTAAGCGTATCAAGCTCATTTCTTGTCAACTCGTTGGCATGCGATGTGTATGAAAACTCGTGGTTCATCCCATGTTCATGAAGTCTCTTTTTCCTTGCCAGCTCCAACAGCAGAGCATTTCGTCACTCCATCTCTGTCCCACGCACAAGAGTAAAAGTCAAGGGTGTTGGGCGATTTGAAGATTTGTTTCCCCCGCCGAGCTGTTTTAAGAAAACCCAAGGCAGCTATCCCACAGTGAATAAGATCCTGTTGTTGTGCCAAAGTGTAAATGTTTGCGGGCACTTACTCTTTTTGGCTTACAGTGAAACACCTCTACAACGAAACCTACATGTGCGAAAATACCTCCCAGTGTGAAAAATTCTTCATGCATGAAAGCCATTCCCTCTTCTCTGCTTCCCCCTACAATGAAAATACCCCCTGTTGTGTAATACAAAATCCTTTTCTCCACCCTTGCCTGGCAATGAGGTTCACTAAAACGAAAACAAGCCTCCCGCAAAAGTGTAATCCAACCTCAGCCTGCCACAGTGACTCCTACTGCTTGGCTCCGAAACGTCAACAGCAACCACCACACTGGCATACACATGCGCAGTAGTACAGGAAGTATTTGTTATTGTTAGTTTCAGACGCAGCACGAACATTGCATTGCTAAAATGGCTACAAAACGGACCTTTGCAGACCAAGGAGTTAAGAAAACAAAAGCTTTAACGCTTGAAGACAGGATAAAAGTAATAAAAATGAAAGATGGAGGAAGCAAAGTAAAATACATCGTGCAAGAAATTGATATAAGTGAAAGTGAATGCTGATCGATTATTTTGCAATTTCTTTCCTGTTTTTTTTCTGAGTGTATTCTCATACTTATGCACTATTGCAATAAAAATAAAGGGTACACATATACATTGTGTGTGTGTGTGTGTGTGTGTGTGTGTGTGTGTGTGTGTGTGTGTGTGTGTGTGTGTGTTTACATCTGAGATAAAATTTGCTAGAGTGAAAAGTCCCCTGTTGTGAAAAATTTCTTGCTGCAAACATGATTTCGTTCTAGAGGAGTTTCACTGTACGTACTAGGAAAGGCGACACAAACAGACAGAAAGGGAAAGCAGTGCAGAAGAAGGTAAAGCAGAAGGCAATACATTGTACGTTGGTCATTTAACCAGTGCTTACAATTGTTACCTGGATTTGACCTGAATAGACTGAGCCTTGATTAGTTTATGAACAACAATGTGGTAATTCGGGTTTTATGGCAGCAAACTGGACAGTGGCAGTACTGTGTGATCAGCCCTGGGCGCACCCAGACTCTTGCCCCAAGTCAGCTGTGATTAACTCTAGCTTCCTGCGACCTTGATCAGGACCTGTTGCAGAAAATGGAGTGTGGTGGATAGGTATCAAATCTTGGATGATTGCTCATTTCTTGGCTTGATCCAGATTTCTGTCACAGATCCAGTTTTCCAATCGCGTCTGGTGTTCTGTGGTTGACAAAAGCTCCAACTGAGACTGCCAATAAACAGCCATTCTCTGATTCTGTTCAGGAAAAAAAAAACTGAAATGAAGACACTTTCATACGCAGGAGGTATATCAGCTACATCAGACAATCCAATGAATGAATTATTTTGGGGCATGTCTATGAACTCCTGGCATTTCCAGATATTAAATGACCAGTGACTCATCATGGTCATCGAAGGAGCAGCCATCCATCTGTGCTCACCCGACATTTGCTTGGCACAGACAGCTTGTATGAGACCTTGGAAAGTGACTTCAGAGATTTGTTTTGAATGCATGCTATATGTTGGAAAATAATTGCCGAATATATGTGCAATGACAGAGACCCGTGGAGCACAGCGTTGCTGTTTTTCAGTATTTCAATTTTCCAGATTTTTTTTTTTTTTTTTGGAGTGCCTAAAACAGCATCCTGTGACGCATTTGGACATCCAGCATGAGTCGCACCACCTGCATGGTATAACAACCGAGGCGTTTATATCATCAGTGGTTATCTGGCGCAATTGTGAGTGACTTAGTTATGATTACATGGCCCATTTTTACTGTTGCAAAGTGCAGCTATGCCTACAAGTGGAAATATTTCCTGGATGCCACAGAACACTAAATATCAACCACTTTTACCTTTAAAATATTGGCAGCTCTGTTACGGCTTAGCAAAAGCAAAGTTAGCAGTGAACCCAAAAGCAAATAGGAGACTTTTGATGAGAGATTTAAGGGACTGTTTAATGAAAGTGAGAGTCTGATGATCTCGGTCAGGACACAAGGGTTGGCTGGCAACAAGAAGGTGAGTTTCTGGCTTAATGTT